ACCAGTTTGGTTCCAGAGTCCACTTCCTCCCGAGATGCTCTCCTCTTCTGGAATTGGGTTCTTAATGAGTCTGCACACAATCTCCGCTGGCACTCCTGCTTTTTTATGTATGTCATGTATTGTTGTTTTTAATGGAGGAATTTACCTCCTTATATTCTTTTAAATTGTATTGAGTTTAATTACATTTTTAAGGGGGGAGGGGGAGGTACTTGTTCTTAACTACTGTTGAATTTTATGATGTAAGCCGCCCCGATTGTGCTCAGAGGGGCGGGGTATTAAATAAAAATTATTATTATTATTATTATTATTATTATTATTATTATTATTATTATTATTTGTCTTCATGGTGGTCCATGATATCCCATGGTATTCCACAATTCATCTCAACTGTGAAAAGCAATCATATTTCAGTCAAGTCTCAGAAACAGACTGACATTAAGTCACTTCCAGTTGCACCAAAAGTGTGACTCTACTTTGATTTGGATCCCAAGATGTCAAGCATAGGATTAGCTGTCTGAGATTCTGCAGCTCAGCCCTTTCCAACATAGTACCTTTCAGATATTCAGGTTTTCCTGAATTTCCCATGTTTTCTCACCATTGGCCATGTTCACTGGGGTCACATTAACCAAGAATGGGAGCTAAGGTCCAAAATACTCTGTCATTAATTTCACAAAGGTTTCCTAAGGAAGAATTCATGAGGAATGGATGAGGTTGCAGGAAGGAAGGAAGGAAACAATTAAGCCATGGCATGTGGGGGCATTCTGAAATCACTACAGGGAAGCTCCATTTTATTAGCTTGCATAATACAGCAAATTGAAGAGAAATCTAAGCTTCACAAATCCAGTGATATTGTAGGGAGGAATTTTCTCTGTCTTTTCTGAGGATGTGAATGCCCTCCAAAACTACATTATTGGGGAATGAAAATGGCTACCTGGACATTGAAAGAAGAGCTCTAGTGTTACTATCACTGTCCAATGCAACAGCAGCAAAGTGTGGAAAAGGAAGAGGGCAAGTTTCATGCTTTGTCCCAAAAACACTCAGAGAAGTGTCCCTGTTTTCTCCTTTGGGCTCTACTTTCCATGTCCCACCCCACCCAAAAGTTCTCATTGGAGAGTTTTCAGTGCAACTCTACAGTAATCATATTTATAGAGGTTGCCCATGACTTCCATGGCAAATGTGTGATGAAACCACTTGAGGTTTTATACCAGTTTTAAAGGGAACTATCCAAAGTGCTGAACTCCATCTCTCCAAAGAGGTCCAGCTGATTGGAGATCATCATCACATCTCTGAAATGGAAGTGCTTGCCCCCCTGCATTGATATATAACCCTTGAATCATAGATAATAGAACTGGAAGGGGCTGCAAGGTCCATCTAATTCAACCCCCTGCCATGCAGGAATACACAACTAAAGCACTCTCAAGAAAAGATCATTCAACTTTTGCTTAAAGATCGATGAAGAAGGGAATTTCTTCCTAATGTTTAAGTGAATTTATTTTCTTGTATCATCATTATATCATCATCTATATCCTACATTTCTCCCAATAATGTGACTCAAGGTGGATTACCACACATTTGAGAACAATGTGGATTGAAATCTATACAAATATTTCAATAAAATTACAAATATAAATGTTATTTAAAAGTCAATTAATTAATTTATGAAGCTAAAAAGACTACAGCCCATTATAAAACCCCATACACTCACCATAAAAAACATTGTTATTTGTTCCTGTTGCATGCCTCCAAGTCAGTTTTGACTTATGGTGCCCTTCAGGTGAACCCATCATAGGGTTTTCTTGGAAACTTCTTCAGAGGGGTTTTGCCATTGCCTTCCTCTAAGGCTGAGAGAGTGTAACTTGCCCAAGGTCACCCAGTGGGTTTTTATGCTCGACAGATAATCGAACTCTTCTCTCCGGAGTTGTAGTCCAATGCTCAAACCACTACACCATGCCAGCTCATTACAAGCCCATCCCAGTCATATTATAAATGATTTCTGACATAAGAATGTTTTAACCTGCCAGTGGAAGGAGAGAAAGGACACAGCTTGCACAGGAATCTTTGTGCAAGCTATTGAACAGACAGGAATAATTGCCTCCCTAAGGAGGCAGTTCTAAAGTCTGGAAGCAGCCACAAAGAAGGCCCCTCCTTTGCTTCCATCAAATGAGCCTGAAAAGGTGGTGGGACTCAAAGAAGGACCTCTCTGGAACTAACCAATGTGAATCCATTAGTTCATGTTCTAGTCTCTGGAGCAGTAAAAAACATATTTTTGTTGGAATTCAAAGACATAGCCGTGTTAGTTTGGGAAATCAGTGTGCAATGGGATCTTGTAGCATCTTTGACATAAAGAAAAAAGTTGAGAGCATTAACTTAGCTCAGCTTAGCTTAGAGTTTTTTTTTTACTTAGTTTAGAGTTTCTACTAGTTTTCTACTTTGGTTTAAATTAGGTGATTGCCATCATATTCTGGAAATCACTGTGATACTACTTTCTTATCTTTTGTTCTGGTGCTGGGTGAGAAATGATCTATTCTCCCAGTATACTCTTCTTACCCTACCATCTCTAAATCTTTCAGTTTTCCAAACTTCTGTCATTCACAACACTGTCTTAAACACAATTCAAAGGCATTTGGGTCCTATCTTCTTTTGAAAACTAAATAGCATGCCTTATTAATTTCTTAATTACGTAGACCATTTCTAAACAGAGACATTATTTCAGTCATATTGCATTGTATAAATATCCACATTTTATGGTTACATAACCTATACATTTATTACATACAAAAACCTATTATGTGTATAATTTCTGATCTGGCTAGTAAAACATCCTGAAGGTTTCATGTAACTCTTTAATTATGAACTGCAGGGGACACCACAGAACAAATATTTAAAATGTCTAGACAGCCAGTCATCAGAGAATAACCATTTAATTGGGTCAAGCTAATGCTGTTAGATCCTGTGCGTTCTGGGCAGAAGGGAGAGATTTAGCATGCCTTTAATTGCTCAACACTTTGAAGACTGAGATGGCATGTGTATGTTGTCTGCTTGTGATGGAATTTGTTTCCGGATTGTAGAAAATGGAATAGCTGCACTCTGGAATAGATTGATATGGGATCTATTTCCCATAGATTGCATGCAGAGGTAAAACATCTCCAGTCAATTTTCACCAGAGTACTAAAACTATCTCAGGAGATTTCAACACTAGTAACTTAAATGAATTCAAAATACACATAAAGAAATTCCATATTCTAGGGTACACTGGTAAGTATAGAGGAGAAAAGACTTTAGAATTCTCTATAATACAGTTTGAAATATGGAAGCAAGACACCATCCTCTCCATGATCATGAGCTGTTTCTGCTCATAATCCTAAAAGATTGAAAACATTTTCATTTTGTAACTTTTCCTGATGTGAGCGTTTGTCATTTTGTGAATGACATGGGATGGGTGGAAATAGAAAACATCATTTTCCTAAATCTCCAAAACACTCTGGACATTGCTTTCAGGCTGTTGATTCTCCACCCACCCCTGGATTGGACCATAAATAATCAATACCTTTATGAGGGCTACTCCAAATTATTGTGGGCAATTGACTCTTCTAGACTTGTTTTCAAGGCCTTGCTACCAATCCAAAGGAGATTATTACCACCTGGCAGTTAGGCTTCTAAAGATGGTTAACACTTGAGTGTGCCTAATAAAAAAAGTGAGCTAGGAAAAAATACTTTTTTGATTAAAGCTCTTAGAATTCCACTCTTCTGGCAGCATGGCCATAGTCTAGGGATATGGACATTTCTTCCCCAAAAAGTAGCATTTCAAAGTTGTGTAAAAACATGCATCCTTCAGGATCAAACTAAAGTTTCATCTTGCTCAGCATTACAATGGAAGCTAAATAGATGCCATCTAAAAGCATACAAATAAAAGCATTTGAGTTGCTGTTTATTTTCAACTATTAGTATTTACTGACATGTATCTCCTGAAAACAGATTCCTCAATCTCTCCTCTATTAATTTCCTATTGCTTTTTTAAGGCAAACAAATTAAGTCAGAACTCTCATCAGAAGCCAAATGGCCAAACTGAAGCTATTGTACTTTGGGCATATAATGAGATGTCAGAACTCAATAGAATGTAATGCTCAGTAGAGCTGAAGGTAGAGTTGAGTGGAATTGAATACAATCATCAGTAGAGTTGAAGTTAGTAAGAAAAGAGGAAGACCATATTAAAGGTGGATTGATTCATTCAAAGAAGCTGCAGCCCTGAGTTTGTAAGACCTGAGCAGGGAAGGTAACACTAGAGTTTCTTGGAGTTCTCTGATTTATAGGGTTTCCACAAGTCTAATCCAATTTGAATGGAGTTCACAACAAGAATAACAAAGTTGATAGCTTCCACTGCTTCTTGTGATAAATAATTTTCTAAATTTCTGCTTTGTATAAGATCAGTATCAGATCACTTTGTATAAGACCAGTGTCAGTAGCAGTAAAATCTCTGTAGAAGTAAAGGAGAAATTCACCAATTTTGTACACATTTTGCAAATCCATATATGCTACACCTATAAGTAAGCCAATATATGTACATCTCTCTCTCTCTCTCTCTCTCACACACACACACACACACAGACTTCACTTTCCATACTTTTAAAATTTAGCTTTCTGGTTCACAATTTGAAACAGTAGCAACTTACTAAGGGAAAATGTACAAAATGAAAATATTAGAGAAAATAATTAAAAAATATTTTTAATCAAGGGAATAGACTTTCAGAAAGTGTGCACATTTGGAAAGGTGTATGTATACATTTCTGTATGCACAGATATGACTTTTCATGCAGTTTTTTTATGTGGAAAAATGAAGTGTATTCGCCATGTTCACAGATTGTTTGGTGCACAGATTTGATGGACGCTGGTCAACATTTGGTGAACCAAAATTAGAAGATAGATTCAATCACTTCTACATCCCTCTTCTTGATAGTTCTCCAATTGCTTTCACTTCTGGACAATCCTCTGCTAACAGGGTATATCACAACCCCCCCCATCAAAATACATTGTGCTATTCTTATTTTTTATTATTATTCCAAAGAGAAATGCAATCATTTCAATAAATCATATTGTTTGATTCAGATGTTATTTAATTGCAACTCAAAAGGCTGTCATATCACACACTTGTTAAATGAATATTTCATAATATACCATTGATAATGACCATGCTTAATTGCTCCAAATTCAAAAGGCAATATCTGATTGCAAATGTGCATGTGTGTGTGTCTCAGTATTTTAAAAAAGAAAACCATAATTGTCTTGTGCAAGCTATTGAACAGACAGGAATCTTCAATAACAAAATAATTGCATATGCTATTAAATATGATTGATGGCAAAATTGGGAGCCTACTGGTTCCTCCCTACACAAAGACACACAGTGCTTTTGAAGATGGTGTTCAAAAATGTCACAGGTGCCATGGAGAAGGAAAGCAGAAAAGAAGGCCTGTTAACCCTCCCTCAAAACAGATGAGTTCATTTTTCTTAACAGAATTATACCCTTCACCTTATAAATGGTACCTTCACAAAAGAGAAAGCAGCCAATGGTTGCCAGTAAAGTTTCTTCAGTGCTTCTGTAATGCACTTCTATATAATGAGCTTTGTGTGATGGGTTATTGTACCTTCAAGTGATTTCCAGTCTATGGTGACCCAAATTTAAAAATTATCATGGGGTTTTTCTTTGCAAGATCTGTTCAGAGGAGGTTCTCCATTGCCATCCTCTGAGGCTGTGAGGATATGACAAGATCATCTAGTTGGTTTCCATGGCTGAGTGGAAACTCTGGTCTCACAGAATCTAATCCAACAGATAAACCATTACACCACACTGGTTCTTGTGTAATGTCTGTTGTTTTGTGACCTGATGTCATTTCTAACTTAGGGTGACTGTGTTAAAGGGTTTTCTTGGTAAGATTTGTTCAGAGAAGGGTTGTCATTGTCTTCATCTGCATCTGAGAGTGTGTGATTTGTCCATGATCATACAATGGGTTTCAATGGCTGAGCTAGTTTTTGAACTCTGGTCTCCTATAGTCCTAGTTCAACATTCAGATCACTCTCCTACACTGGATTGATGCATTCAATCAAAAATCAAACTTGAATTCAAACTATCTATTTATTTAGGACTGAGTAAGGATTCTCCATATTCTTTTAGTGTTCCTAGGTTTTATTCCTTCCATATTGGACTTCAATACAGATTACAGATCTTGTTTCTTGAGTTAGGGTGGGGGAGTGATTTTTGCTGAGGATTGACAAGTTCTGCCAAGAGATTGGAAGAACAAGGCCATAATTTCTCTTCCCTTTCTCTAGCAAACTATAGTAGGTATGGACAACAGTCCTTGCTGCTCAGTTACCTCCTCCCCTTCTCTCTGCACCACTTTAATGGTCATAGAAGCACCCCTGAATCTTGGAAGCTGCTGGGGAAGCTGCTGGGGAAGGTTTTAGATGGTATACAAGGGGCTATTGAATCATACAACATATAACTGTTAGGAAAAGTTGTTTGCAATAATGTGTGTATTGGGAAAGTGCATTAAAATGTTTTCTATTAGCAGACTTTCTAGAGACTAGGGTTAAATTGCCTGCTCAGACATGAAAACCCACTGGCTGACCTTAAGCAAGTCACATGCTCTCAGCCCCAGGGGAGAGCAATGGCAAAACTCCTCTGAACAAATCTTGCCTAGAAAAGCCCATGAAAGGTTTGCCTTAAGGTCGTCATAAGTCAGAAATTACTTGAAGGAAAAACAACAACAAACAACATGCAATTTTATGTGGATTTGTTTTGGGCGGGGGGGGGGGTGAATTACAAACTGATGCAGAAACAGGAGAAAATACTTTTAAAACTATAAAAATTAGACACTGAGCAAAAACGAATTTGACAAATTTCTCATCTAAATTCTCTGAGAATCACGTTGTCATAGCATTGCATATCCTGTAATTTAAAACA